GAGGGAGGGTGTGAAGACATGTTCTCGCAGCAGCTCGGACTCTCAAAGTGACTGTGTTGCTGAGCAGCTCGGAGACCAGTCAGATTAGTTGCTGGATGAAAGAGGCCGAATCTTCACAGGTGGAGAGAACCAGTCCACCTGGCCGGTGGTGGAGATGCTGCCAAATCCCTCAATTACTCAATGCTGCCACACCTGGGCGAGCGGGGGCGTTGCACTGTCTCTAGTGCCTCAGCAAGCCCAGCGATGATCAAGAATGTCTACGTCTCTAAAGGCCAGTTGTTCTCCGTTCCGAGCAGAAATGGTGGAGGTCTACCCTCCAACACGTGACTCTAGATCAACAAACACCAGCCCAAACAAATGTCGTTTTTTTTTTCTTTTTCTTTTTTTTTTTTCTTCACTGCAATCAAACAAAAACCGGTCCCGTTGTTACACTGGTGAGCTTATTGTCTCATAATCCATCTGAGTGATATTTGACTGTAGGGCAGCCTAGCGACCCATGAAGCACCTTGACGTCCAGCCTTTCTCACCTTTTTTTGTCTGACATGCTGTTTGACCTTGAGGTCAGTTTATAGTCGACTAACTTGGACATTAGCCTGGCAACGTTTCCCCGAAGAAATATATTGTTATACTGACATTATTATTATTATTATTACAGCTACGATTGACGATCTATGAAGTTGACTTAATTTATTGGAAATAAATCTTTAATTTGTACAAGAGGTAAAATATATTTTTATTCTAAGAGATGTTTATGGTAGTTACGAGTCTGTTTTTATGTACTTTTTTTTTTCCTTTTTAATCTGAATTGCTTCTGTGCATCCTTATATTCATGGCATACAGATGCCTTGTTGCAAAGTCCCGAATTGCATTAATTTTAATTGCATAGAAACCTGTTTGCAGGGTTCCTACGCATTAAGGAAACTCTTAATTCACACTCCATGCTCTTTAACAAACGTGTCGACTTGTGTAAAATTATTTTTCTAGAATCTTCTATGCTCCACATTCAAGAACATGAAAATGGGACGTTTTGAAAACACAATCGCAAACACTATCAGTCGCAACCTTTTAAGATAATAAGATAATGGTGTGCTGTAAACCTTTATTTCAATAATTTATCAGGCTAGAATGAGAAAACCAAGAAGGTGATCTCGAAGTCTTGGTTTTGCTCTTTGTAAGGAGTTGCTTAGCGCTCTGGAGTCTATCGAGATAATGCAACTATCACGACAAAATAAGCTTGAGGATTTTATCTCGCTATAATGAAACGGTGACGCTAGTAGTGCATCTAAAAACGCCCAAACCATTTTAGTTATACCAACAAAACTAATTTGAGATTTCAATTTCTGAAGATAAAGTGATGAAAATTATCAAAACATAATGACCTCGAGGTGTTGGTGTCTCAGTATGAAGAGTTAAATGCTTGTTATCCTGAGATAATGAAGCTCGAAACTCAACTTGCCTGATATCTTGACATGATGAGCTGTAAAAGTATTGTGATTTTAATATTGAAACTAGCTAAATGTAGAGAGGATTTAGCTGTCACAATAAAATCAAGTTTTTATATCCGTGCTTCTCAGATAGCTCCTGTTGCCATCAAAAGATGGGCAGTTGGATTCTAATACAGCTTTACTGTACTTTACTAAAATAAAACACATTTTCTTTGCCGCTTTTTAATATTTGGAGCACACCAATACTAAACATTAAATACTGTAAAGGAAAATGAAAACAATCTGACCTTGGTTAAAATGGCCAGAAATTGGTTAGGCTACTAGAAAACTGATGTAGAACATGTGGAATATTGAAATATGTGAAGTGTAGGAACCCTGTTGTTGTAGATATGGGTCTAAAATAGGAAAAATGTGCCTTATAACACAGTTATCTTAAAAATTTCTCCAAAATCTTTATAATCTGTTCCCTCTTGCCTAGAAAGACATTGTATGTTAATATTTAAAAATAAAAGTATAAACTGATGTCAAAGAGGATCTTACTGTTGTCCAAAATTAGTGAAAGAGGTAGTTTTAATAGCTCATTCTCTGACAATAGCGATATTTGCACTGCTTTATTGTTTTTTTTTTTTTCCTTTTACTTTTTTTTTGGTTTAAATCACACTGTCCTCATTGTACCTCACTTTTCACCTTCACGCATCTTTTTAACAAATTCAACCATTTCTTTTGTCAATTTTTAATGGACAGGATATGACTACTGATCATTAGAGTGCACTTCTGATTGTACATACATCTAAAATATATATTCTATCTCTTTTTTTTCCCCGTTTGAAGTAGTTTCTTTTTACATTTTCATGTTTGTGGCCAACTATCTCAGTGGAAACTTTGTGAGACTTAACTGAACTTATGTATTGGTGATTGTTGCTTTCACTGTTGAGGGGTTAGTGAAGTGCCTTTAGGTGAGATTGTTTTCTAATGGCTCTAATTTTTTGGCTTATGCTTGTTTGCATTCATGACATGTAATTTATAAACATTTTTGTTTAAATATTATTCTAAAATGGGTTTTAACCCAATCGAAGTATGTGCTCCGTCCAGTCTCGCTAGTTCATCTTTTAATTTGGCAATCTGGGCACAGTAATGTTTGGAAATGACATTTTCCTCCTTCCACGATGTTTCCTCTGCTTTCATAAACAAAAAATGAACACATGTAAGAGAAGAACTGTCATGTGATCTTTGGGATTTTCCCCGCTCCTTTTTAAGGAAGAGGGACAAACCATTAAAAAAAAAAAAAAAAAAAAAAAAAAAGGACATTCACCCAATCACCTTCAATGCCCATCAGTTTATGTGCCTTCATCGTGTTCATGTGTTTGCCTGACTTTGGTGATATTTTTGGCATCAGTTTTCCATGAACGTAAATTTTAAATAAACAACTGTTCTGGTTAGAAGTAATGGTCATTTTTGTGTTGTGATTTTGTTCTCTCATCACTCATCCCACCCGCATTGCCAGGTTTTATTTAAAATGCTAATATTATCACACACGGCCAGAAGTTCACTTGAACGTCACATAATTTGAGTACGTGCAATAAAAACTACAAACGTTCCCAGCATGCACATGTACTTTCGTCTTCCCATCATGCCTTTCATAATCATGGCGGCTGACAGTATTTCATAACATTTACATGTCACCGCTGTTTACGCGTGAATTATTGCAGCTCTCGGTTTGTAAGTGCGTTTTCTTGTTGCTGGAGTGACGTTTGAAAAATGCCTAAATATTACGAGGATAAAGAGGAGGACACCAGAGCCTGCGCTGGCATCAGAGAGGACTTCAAGGCTTGTCTCCTCCAGCATGACTGCGTAGTGAAGGTAAGGTGGTGCAAATGACAATGAAAAAACTATGTACACCGGAAAGGCCACTAAATAAATGTATTGGTGCTAAGTCTAATTTAACATTTTAATGAGAATAGTTGCTTTATTTTGGAGTGACTTAGTTAAATACGTCATATTTTTAAGCAGAAGTATTTCAGGTATGGTATACTAGTTTAACTTTGTGGTTGTCCCAACAAATTCTAAATTGTAGCGAAAATGTTTGTAGAAACGATTATGTCGCAGGATTACGGTTCAAACTATTATTCTGATTAAGTAGTCGCTTTCTAACGACGGTACAGCTACGCGGCTAATGCTAAAAGCTAATGGTAAGTTAACGTTTACTTTTCCAAGCAAAGACATTAAACATGTGAATTTTGAATTAAATGACAAAATAACCAATTTAAAAACGAGCTTGAGAAGAATTTTTCATTTTTTAATTCCAATACAGCTTTATTTATAACGCACTTTACAGCGTTATAAACAGTTTTAAAGTCCCAAACATAATGATTAAAAAAAAAAAAATTCTTGTCCAATGTTATAATTGAAGATATAACATTGGACATAAGAATTAGAAAAAAAGTAAAAATCAAGAGCAGCAAAAAGATCTAACAATAAGTGACATAATGGAAACATAAGCTCACTTCTAAAGGTAAAAGGCCTGATCTTTGCAGATTTACACATTAGCCGTACTCCTTCCATTTCTTGAGATTTAAACTCCAAAGGTTGTTCAGTGCCTTAGAGATTTTTTTGGTATCCATCCCCTGATTTATGCTTTTCAATATAATTTCCTCTGATATGCTTGGAATGTTTTTTTGTTTTTTTTTTGTCTATATGTTGTAATGGCAGCCAGGAATATTTTATACATGCTATTCATTCACTCTAGTGTTAAAAAAGAAAAGTCAACTGGTACGTTGATGTAAAGTTTAGTAACTTACAACAAAAGTGACATAACCTCATTTTATTGTTCATTGCTGATTTCTGACCAGAACATTTGTGCCAGAAACCTTTCCAAACAAGAAAAAATTTAACGCTTCAGGGTCACATGTAGCAACATCTTCCATTTAAAACAATTAAAATAAGTTTCTTGGATGCCACAAATTTAATGTATTTGATAGAGAAAATGCATAAATCGTAAATGCATTAAAGAAGAAATACTTGTCATAATTTCAAATCAAAGCATAAAACTTAATCAGTGGCCTTTCTTAAAGCTCTTGTCATTGTCTCAGTATAGTGTGTTTTAAAGTGTCCCTCTGTCCACCAGGAGGGAAAGATGCCCAGTGAGTGTCTGAAGGAAGGCCACTGCAAAGCGCTGCAGACGTCATTCTTTGAGTGCAAGAGGTCCATGGTGAGTCAGTCAGCTGTAGTTACTGTACGACGCTGTTTGATCGAAGACCTTTAATGTTTAACAAAAATAACCAACTTTAAGCATCTTCTATCCGCAGCTGGATACAAGGTCGCGATTCAGAGGGAGGAAAGGATACTGAGGAACCAACTAATGTGTTGTGACGAGACTGAGCAGCTTGTGTTGATTGAAATTAGTGCAGCAACGTGTGTGATGCTGCATCTTCAGCATTATGAACACCTCATCTGAAGCACAGGTGGGGAAGAGCAGCAACAAATGACAGGATGTGAAAGAACCCACAGCAGAATCAGGTGTGGATCTTTAACAAAAGACAAGAGCTCTCATTGGTTGGAGTGTTCAACATGTTTTCCTTCCTTGTTGGAACATTTTATTTTGTTATTTTGAATGAAAATCATCAACTTAAATAAATGATGACCAAAGTCAGAGGTTTGTCTGTTGAAAGTGGAGTCATTGCGTTGTTGAGGTAACTGAGTTTTACAATACGAAAAACAAAACAGGTGAACCACAAAACGTGTGGGGAACAGCAGCGACCTTCAGTATTAAGTTCAGACTCTCATTTCAGAGCCGCCATCATCATCTTCCTGAACTTCTCCATGTCTACCTTTTTTATGATAAAAACCTTGTGCGTCTTGTTCAGCAAGCCCAGAGTGTCCACTACCATCATGCCTCTGGTGTGCGTGCCCACCAGCTCCACGCTAACCGGGAACTGGTCGCTCTCTACGACGAAGGAGTCGTCCACAGCGGCCGCCATGGCGTACGAGTCGCAGGAAATCAGGCCCGAACCCGCGATGAACTCTTTCTCGAAGCGCTCGGTTTTCGACGCCTCGATGCTGTGGCTGAAGATCTTCGCCATGAAGCGAGCTTTGTGGCTGTTCTGCGCCAGCCAGGCGTTGCAAAACTCCTGAAGGAACGAAAAGATTCGGCAGCTGCAACATTGATCCACGTTTACTGAGGATAAACGATGATAATGAGTCGCATTCATCCACATATGAGAAAATATGGAAACGAGAGGTCACCCAAGGCAGCTTGTTGTAGCAGGTGAACTCCCAGCAGGCCAAGTAGGTGGGACACTGGTAATCGTTCAGCACGATGTACGCCGCTTCTGGATCATCGGTGAAGTTGAACTCGCCGCACACCGAGGTGTTTCCTCGGGCTGCAGAACAGAACCGCAAAGCAAAAGTTGGTTTAGACCAGAGCGCTGCAACTTTTACAAACCAAAGATTCATTTTTGCCTTCAGTCCAACAAGGTGAAACACAAAAAAAACAACAAAAAAAACATGTTGATAAATATCTACTGTAGGAAATGTGTTTCATAAGAACCACCATTTCATTTAATCTAAAGGAAGATGGATGGTTTTTAACCAATAGGATGTCAAAATTTGTGGAAAATGATGTAAACAACGTTCTTTTCAACTAAATCACTACTTGGTGACAAGAAATATATCTTAAATACTATAAACAACAAAATGTTTCACATTTTGGAAGTGATGTACAAACTTTTTGCTGCGAGGGACAAAATGGGAAAGACAAAGTACTCGTAAAACTAAAATCATAAAATGCTATTGTGAAACATGCAGTGTTTTGATTAATAAAATAAAGCAGTCAGATTTTCTGTAGGAAGAAGATGTGCAAATAATTGCACATCCAAAACAGGATTTTTCCTGTTTGCCTTATTAAGAGAAAGGCGTCCAGTTAGCAAATTCTTCTGGGTTTGATTATTAAAAAAAATAAATTTAACGGAGCCTATTAGCAATAAAACCAGAATTTGTGTCACTTTTTGTTTGGGGGGGGGGGAATGCTTGAAGTATTAAACAAAGTGTAACCCCTAAAAGCATATTTGTCAGTAAACCTTTGAGTAAAAATAATAAGTCAGTGACTTTATACTGATATACTGTGACCTCCCTTCAGCTGTGATAAAAGTCGACTCCTTCAAACTAGTAACTCTCAGTGTTTCACTCACACTCAGTGTTCCCTCCCATGATGTAGAGTCCTTTCAGTTTGGCCGGCAAAGACGGATCCATCCTCACAGCCAGAGCCAGGTTGGTGAGCGGCGCCGTGGCAACCAACGACACCTGAGAGATGTAAAGTACGTGAACAAATAAGGACACCCTATGAAAATCTGTATGTTTTTTTTGGTGTCTTTTTTTGTTTTGTTTTACATAAACACATGGGTATTTTAAAACAATTCATGCAATACTGATACATGTAAGTATGGACCTTCTAAAAATATATGTAATATATTGTGAAAGTTACATTTAGAAACGCAAGATGAGAACTTTGTTACTCTGTCATTTCTGGAAGGTTTTCCTGTTTAAACCTGATATGTTTAGTTTGACTTTAGCAGTCTATAAGTCTGTTAACATTTGGAAAACACTAAATCTGCACAAGTTCACTCCGGTGTTGATGCTAAAGATGTTCCCAGATCTCTAAAATGCCATTAGGAAACCTAAAGACATCTTAACGTTTTCACTTTCTTTTCCAAAGTTAGAGAAAAAAGACAAGATTAAACGCTGATATGTAAACATTGCCTTATAAAGAATTTAATATTTAATCATGTGCCCTCAATTCATCACATGATACAGAGTACACAGTTGCTCATAAGACTGCAGTGCATGATGCCATCTCTGTGACAAACATTCACATTTTAACTAAAGTGTTACCTTTTAGCTTTATCTGACGCATGTGGTTTTTTTTTTTGTACCAAGCAGGCAGAATTTTAATATTCCTTGATCTAAAATTCATTCTAATCACCAAACCCTTTTTATGTACTTGGTCTTTTCTGCATCTTAAATCTTTAATTTCTGCTTCTTGAACCATTACCCATTAATAAGCAAGCTCAGATCTGCTGAGTTTGTTACTGAAATCCTTCCTACATTTTCTCAGGAAATAACCCTGCAGTAAGTTGTCACACCATCAACAAGCACAGCTAAAGTGTTCACACCCTGTAAACTTTTTCACTTTTTTTTTTTTTTTTTACATAAAAACCACAGACTTCAGACTTGAGGTTGGATGGAGAACATCTAAGATAACCAATCTCTAAGTCATGCTCCAGATTCTCAGCTGATTTGCTGTCTGGTCTTTGACTAGGCCATTCTAAGACATGAATATGCATAGATTTGATCCATTCCAATGCTGCTCTGGTGGTATGTTCAGGGTCATTGTCCGGGGTTCACTCACCGTCTTACCAACTCAAACCAGCTTCTCTGCTTCTGCTGAAATAAGCATCCCCACGGCATCACTCTGCCACCACCATGTTTCACAGTGAGGGTGGTGCGTTCAGGGCACTGCACTGAGATAGTTTTCTGCCGCACATGGTGATTTGTGGCATAAAAAGTTCAGTTTCAGTCTCATATAACCGGAGCACCTTCTGCAACGTTTGCTTATGGTGAACGACAACCGGGATCTCCAACTATCTTTGGTTACTTCTCAGATTAATGCTCTCCCTGCCAGGACTCGCTGAACAGTTTGAAGCTATAAACCTTGTTTTTTTACACTCTCTGTTTCTTGATCTTCATAATGCTGTTTGCTCCCTAAAGCTCTTTAACACACATATTGACCATGATTTGTATACATGAGGAGGAAACGATCAAACGTATCCTGCAGCTCTGACAGTCCTGCGTCTCTCACCTCTCCTGGGTTTTCGTTAACAATCCTGACTATGCCCGACACGGCGCTCTCCTTCTGAAGCTGGTCCAGACCCGGAGCGTCGGGGTCAGGAGCGTCGCCCAGGCCGTCCTTCCCATGAAAGGATCCCGCATTTAGTCTTTTCCCAAGGATAGGCCTGTCAGCGCCTTTAAAGACTGGAATCTGACCCAGAAAACGTAAGTGACAACTCGGTATAATACAAAGAGAACAACTTCAAAACGTTCAAATATGTAGGCGGCACTAAACAGAGATAAGTCAGACCGTGAATGTAAACTACTTTGACCCACCTCCAGCTTATTGCAGACCTGCAGAACCCGCAGAACGTTCTTGCACACGTTCTCCACCGTGGTGTTCCCGTGCACGCAGGTGATGCCCAGGATCTCCACACTGGGAGCGGCCAGAGCCAGCATGATGGCCTGAGCGTCGTCCACGCCACAGTCCACGTCCAGCAGCAGCTTCTTCATCGTCCTGAACCCTGCGAGAGCACACGTTCACGTCCGACTCGGGAACAGCAAATGTTTCATTTTCAACACAGCCTGAGTTTACCACAAAACTGGACGTTTGAAACATCTAATTAGATCCTCACAAATGATCTGAAACATTCGCACGCACCTGGAACTTGATGTAGGAAGTATGAAGCGGTTGTAGTTCCTGACTAAACGTGGCCAGGGACAGTCGGCTGAAAACAACCTTTGAGCGGAAAACCAGCTGAATCATGAGCAGGTTGTACATGACGAAAGTTACAAAACAGGAAGTCAGATTTTAATTATCAATTTACTCAACAGTAGCCAACTGTTTAAATAAACACAATGTGCTGTAGAGGTACATCTGAGAACTCGTTAAAGATGATAGCCTTCAGAACCACTAATTCAGAGTTTTTAAATATAATCTATCAACCCTGATTCCTAGGAAGAAGTTGAAATAAGGGGCAAAGGTCACGTTGCGTGATCTCTGTTCAGTACCTGCACACGCCCAGAAATGTCCCAAGTCTTGAGATCTCCTGCCCCCAAGTCAAGGGTCAGTCCAGCATCGTCTCCACCGTGGACTGTAGCTCCAGCTGGGATGTTTCTGAATATCATTCACAACGTCTCTGCCTCACTACAAAAATACTGAAAGATTTTGCTTCTTCCTCTCAGAATAACTCAGGTTCCTTTTGGGAAATTCTCAGCAGATGTTTTCATTTAGCCATGATAGAGCTTTTGTTTTAGCATGTACAGCCTGTTTAAAAACCTAAATTGAATTGTTAATTTTTTTCTCCATTTGTGGCTCTCATTGTGTGAAACTATTACAGACTGATGGATGTTGTTGACGTAATTCTCTTCTGATCTTGAATTTCTTTAGTTTGGCAGCTTTTAATCAAGCGACTCTACAGATCAGCCAGTGTGTGATTCAACTCAGCTTTCCTCATTTAAAAATGGGAGTAATTTCTTTACAAAAAAAAAAAAAAAAAAAAAACTTAGGTTGGTTTGGATAGCTTGTCTCCAAGTCCCCTTTTGAAAACAGACTTTTGTATTTTCTTATCTTTGTTTGATATGAATGTCTATTTGGTGATCAGAAAGATTTTAATATGTCAGTATAAATATGTAGAGGTGACAAATACCTTTTCACATACTCTAGATATCACAGTGGTGGTGGAAATGACTCAAGAAGCAACGAAAAAGTTGAAAGGCTGAGATTTATTGACAACAAATTAAAAGAAAACTGGATGATGGATTTAAATAAAAAAAACAACTACTTAACAAAAACTATTAATTTTAAAGACAGACGACAAAATATAAAATAAAGAATAATGGTTTAAAATAAAATAAAAGTCTCAGCATACTTTTTTATTAAAAGTTTCACATACAACATCCAACATGTACAGTTTATCGACGGGGATTAACGAGTTAGACCAGAGATTACAGAAAACTTTTGAAATGACAAAAACAAAATTTAATTTGATTCTGTCCACATTTGTAGAGCAAACAGGTTCTCTAAAGTACAGAGGTCGCTCTCATGTCAGATGCAGCTCGGCATGTAGACTGGTTTAGTATCCGATTGTTGCACACTTAAAAATTAATCAGTGTGGTTTTGCGCAGGTTCTTTTATTTCGATGAACGCTGTTGAAACAAAGGAGCGACAGTGAGCGCCTTCGCTGACCAGCCGTTACTGCGCTTAATTGTCGTTGGCTCGTTGAGTCAGGAGTGCTACTCACTGTGCTCTATGTGCCCACTGGTGGCGAATCGTTGTCACTGCAGTACAGCACATCTCGGCAAGAGAAGTGCAGCTTAAGAGCACAGTACCACATTGGAAAAGAAGTGGCAAGGCTGCAAAAGGCTTTAAAAAAATAAAATGAAATAGGAGCGATGAAGTTCGAACCGTTTAGAGCTTGTGCAAAACCTTTGTCTCTCTAGAAAGTTAACTCTTCAACCACAATGGTCAAACCTTTGACAGTTTCTACAACTGCAGCATGTAAATCATAATTCCCCCACCAGACAAGGAATTTTTTTATTATTATTTTTATGTAGCTGCACATGGAGGTCTGCTCACCAGCTGCGATCAACCCACCTCCACCCCATCTCCACCTTCTGCTCCCGGCTCTCAGGCCTCATCTTCCTCCGACCGCCGCCACCAGTACAGGCCCCGAAGTCCAGCTCGATGTCCCCGGCCGGGGCCTGAACGCCAAAGGACTTTGTTTATTTTCATGTTCATTTTGTCATTAAACTCTTTTAATCGCCTTCTTTCTCCGTTTGAGTCTCTCCAGATTGAACTAAGTTTCTTAGGTAGGTTGCAGACGTCATTTCAAAGCTGCCATCATCATCGTTTCGAACTTCTTCATGTCCACTTTCTTCATGATACACGCTTTGTGCGTCTTATTTAGCAGGCCCAGAGTGTCCACTATCATCATTCCTCTGGTGTGAGTTCCTGCCAGTTCAACACTGACTGGATAACGATCGCTTTCTGTGACGAAAGAGTCGTCCACCGCGGCCGCCGTGGCGAGCGAGTCACAGGAAATGAAACCTGTGGAATCCGGGCAGCCGCTGTTTTTCTTGGACTCCTCCATACTGCGGCGGAAGATCTTCGCCATGAAGCGAGCCTTGTTGCTGTCCTGACCCAACCAGTCGTCGCAGAATTCCTGGAGAAATGAAAACAGGCACAATCCAGGTTATAAATACGGAAATGTGGCGCAGCAGTCATCTGGTAGGTATTTTCTCTTTTTGTTTTTCAGGCTTGGAGGAACAGAAAAATGACGTCCCTAAGTGGATAGTTCTTTAAATCAACATGGGATGAACCCAGTTAAAGGACATATTATTATTATAACGCGTCACTGATTCAAAAACTAAAACAAGACGACACCATTCCAGATAAATAAAACTTATTTAGGACTGCAAATGTTACACGATCTTTTATAATGTTTAATAAACATAGAAAATGTGTCCTAGCATTTAAAAGAACCACAATTTTATCTCCATTTTTAGGTTTCAAAACCACAAAAGATGCAAAAGATTTTGCAATAAAGTGGCGGGGATACACTTTCTTCTATGGGATGTTGATATTTGTAGAACATTTAAATAAAAAATAATGCATTTCCTCTGAAGTTTATACATTTCTACCTAATGTCTGTACACTGTGAGAGCTTAGAATCAAAGTCAAAATTCTCTGGGCACAGAATCCAACCCAGTAGTTTCCAATCGAATGACAAAAAAGTGTTTTGGAGTCGCAGTCTCTTGTGAATATTTAGTGGAATTTTTGCATTTAAAAAAAAAAAAAAAAAAAAAAAAATTTGCCAAAACCTGCATTTGTTGTTATATCTTTAATTAAACACATTAGTTGGTTCTTTATTACTTTAATAAGAGCCATTGTGGAAGGTCCAAAAAGCCACTTGTGGCTCCGCAGCTGCACCGTGGCACAATATTATAAGTAATTCAGTTGTGGCAGATGCCTCAGTTTGTTTAACAACAAATCAGATTGAGGAGTTATAACGAGCCTTACCCACGGCAGCTTGTTGTAGCAGGTGAACTCCCAGCACGCCAAGTGAGTTTCACACTGGTAATCGTTCAGCACGACGTACGCTGCCTCTGGGTCAGCTGCAAAATTAAACTCGCCACACACTGTGGTGTTCCCTCGTGCTGAACAAGAGAAGAACCAGGAAAAAAAAAAAAAAAAAAAAGGATCAAAGTTCTGTAAGACCAAGATGACGCTGACGTGAGGACGCTACGCATGCGAGACGAAGGGCAGAGCTTTAAAAGAGCAAGAAGGGAAGATTTAAGTCCAGTGAGTCCGGTTGAATAAATAAATAAATCTTAATTTTATGGAATTAATCCGCAAAACTACTTCAACAGCAGAGAGTATATCTGTTACAATAACAGAAAAGTTTGACTAAAGGAGGAAATACACAATATCAGACATTCCCACTGGCTATTAGGAGAAGTTTCAGATTTGTTCCTCTTTCTTAAAAATGAAAACTAGTCATTTTTTTTTTTAGAGTAAAACTCTTTTCTGCAAAAAGTCTGAATCAGAATAAAAACTGCAAAGTCAGCAGAGGTGGACTAAAGTGAAGAATACATGGCCTGGTTATGGTCATGTGCATCTCCCCCCACAGAAACCAATACAGGAACCAGTGTAGTTTTCAGGGTTAGTTTCTCTCCTCGATGCGTTTCCACTGCAGAAACCACCATAAGAGCCATTAAGAGCCAGACTAAGGTGCTCACAAATCTGTGCTTCGAGGGAGGCAGGACTTTCTGGATGGACCCGAACTAGACGTGTCCCTTCCTGTTGGGAGGAAGGAACCTTCCACTGGCTGAAGGTAACCAGAATTAAATCCCAGTCATTTCTCTCCCAGTTTATTCTTTATTCTTGTTTGCAAACACGTCAAAGTTCAGCCGCCTGTGCTCAATATCACTGTGTTAGATATTGGTGTTTACATTCAAGCGCATGGTTAAAATCTGCCAGTGTTTTTGTAAATAAATTGCTCAAAAGCAAGTGTGGACTTCTACTTTCAGCTCCTCTGGGAGATTGTTAACTGGTACATTTATAACATATTGCAGAGATTTATGTTCTCAGACACAGAGCACAAACTTTCTCTGAGTCACAGTCTTAATTCAGTTTAAGAGACTTGCCACCATTAAACTGACACAATTTTAAGCTTCCTGACAGCTGACTGTGATCCTCATCAGATCTCAGCCTTTCCTGATCTCAGACCGCTTCAATCTGCAAACACGTTTGTCCGCAGGTGACTTTATAACCCTAACCGCTTTGTCTGATTTTACAGCTTTTAATCACAATTTCTCCATTTGTGGATAATAGTTTTCATCAGGGGGCGGGGGGTCACAAAACCTTACAAATGAGTTCGTATCCCTTAAAGAAATGACAACATTTCTTTAGATTATGGCAGGATAAGCTGCTTTCCCAGACTTTATGTTATCAGTCAAGATCTGTTTAAGTGAGTTCTGGATTAAACAAGTCCAGCAGTAATCAGTCCTTTGTGTGACAAGTGAATTTAACACACATTTAACTCGATAATAAATTATCAGCTTAAACTGCATTTTGCATTTTCTCTTTGTCCGATATAATTTTTGTTACATAATCTGAAACATTTAAGCGCGATTAAAAAAAAAAAAAAGAGACGGCACCGTCTCCGTTTATATCAGCCACATTTATGGGATTCATTTAACTTTGTGTATACATATTTCATTCTACAGACATCAGCGTTCACTCACACTCAGTGTTCCCTCCCATGATGTAGAGTCCTTTGAGTTTGCCCGGCAGAGTCGGATCCATCCTCACAGCCAGAGCCAAGTTGGTGAGGGGCCCCGTGGCAACCAACGACACCTGGGGAGCGTACACGGACTCAGGATGTGCGGAACGAACAGTAACGTGGGTTTTACCCGGCTCTTCTCACCTCTCCAGGGTTCTTATTAACGATCCGGATTATGGCCGACACGGCGTTCTCCTCCTGGATTTTTTCCAGCCCGGGAGCGTTGGCGTCGGGAGCGTCTCCGAGGCCATCCTTACCATGGAAGTTTTCGTCGCCGACTTTGATCCCAAGGATGGACTTAGCAGCACCTTTATACACCGGAATCTAGCCAATGAAAACAAGAGCACTGGTGAGAAATGTACTGGTCCAAATTTACCACATAACATCTTATCCTGGTCTGATGGAACGCCAACAACCAGTGTTGTGGTCAAGACCACCTAACCCGAGACCAAGACAAGACCGAGACTTTTAGGGTCCGAGACCAAGTCAAGACCAAGACCAGCGCCCTGCCCTACAGGACACAATAAAATGGTGAAATATGATCAAAATTGCTTCTCAAATTGATCTCAAAGATCCATATTCCCATAAAACACCTAGATATTAAATATTTAATAAATGTTACCAATATTAAAAGCAGAACAAACTTTGTTCTGCTTTGCTTCCATCTTTGTGCTACAATCCGCGGAGGTCTCGTGCCATCCCTAAAAAGATAACGCCCTGGGTGTTTGCCCATATTGCTCATGTCAGAAACCACCACTGTCTGCACCATTAAACATAGCAATTGAGGCAATGCCCTGACTGTAAATAACGATCAACTATGAACACTGACCAAGGAGCAACAAGCAAGAAGTAACCAAGCACAAGACGCTCATNGTGACAATAAATATGCCAACTTTGCATTAAATTGTCATTATTTACAAAATCACGCAAAGTTGCCATTTTTAATGGACTTTTAATGCAACTTTTAGAGCAACTTTACATTAAAAGTGTCATTATTCACCGAATGACACTTCATGACAACTGTCATAAGCAGTCATAAAGATTTCTTTATGTTCATGACGGGTGTTATGTCAGTCTTATGCACAGCCCTTCAAATAAAGTGTTACCGAATTTTTCAATAAGTTTTCCCTCATTAAAGCCCTTCCAAAATGTAGATGTAGAAAAAGAAGATGTAAGAAAAAGCAGACAGATTTAATACATGTACATTTTTATCCTTTGAAGAATTTGAATGGCTCAATTTTCATTACTTGACATCAAGTAATGCTGAGTCATCAGGGTAGCACAAAGTAAGAAATACTGCCACCTGCAGGTGAGAGTTCGCCCTCACTTTAAATCCAACACTCTGACCATTTAGGCAGGAAAATTTGCAATAAACTAACAATTATGTATCGGAGTGGAAAAAAATATTTTCCGTGAATTTCCACAATCTTGGAATCATGAAAAGCTGGAGGGCCTGGTCAATAAACATCCAAGACCTTCTGAGACCACATGACTTAAGACTTAATTTACAAACAGCCGATTTCTAAAGACAGCTAGTTGTGGTATGCTTCATTTAGGGGTATCAGAACGAAGCAGGCCATCCATGTGTTACTTTGTGTTGGTCTATCCCACAAAATCCCCCCAAAAATACATTCAAACTTGTGGTTGTAACGAGAACAAAATTCATCATCCTCACACTCCAATGACCGCAACACCTTTAGAACATAAATAAATCTCAGTATGTTGGTCTTCAATACACTTTTTCTTTTAAACTTTAATTGCGAAGGAAGGAAATGTTACAAAAATGAGACGCAGAGGATGGATGTAACTCGTGTCTGTGCTGTAAACGTAGAGGAACTTGTTGTTCACTTCTGTCTCTAACTCATGTGACTTGAGGAACTCATTGTTAGGCAGAACACTTAAAACGGGCTGACTTTTCACATGACTGCTAATTATTGTCATTCAACACAATTACTGCTCACATTTTAAGGACATTCCAGAAATTTGGCATTTTAGATGCTGATTGCAATCTCTAGCTGCAAAAATCAAACATCATAAAGCCTTTCTTTTCCCTTTTTTTAAAAAATAATTCAAAGCAAGACGCTTGTTGTCTTGGGTACAAAGCTGGTTTATTCAGCTCTGACGTGCTGGATGAAAGGCCCGGTATTTAACAAAACAATCCACCGATCAAACCTCCATACGGTAGAGCAACTTTTAAAATTTATTATTCCAATGTGTCAGTCCTCAACTATGCTTTTTAATAACAGAAAAAAAAAGAAAAGATTACAGAGGATATGTAAATATCTCAAATAAATACTAACTTTACTAAAATGACTATAATGATTTCTCTCTCGGGACTCTGAGGTTTTGGTTCTGCACCCACCTTCGGCTTTTTGCAGGTCTGCAGAACCCGCAGAACGTTCTTGCACACGTTCTCCACCGTGGTGTTCCCGTGCACGCAGGTGATGCCCAGGATCTCCACTTTGGGGGCGGCCAGCGCCAGCATGATAGCCTGAGCGTCGTCCACGCCACAGTCCACGTCCAGCAGCAGCTTCTTCATCGTCCTGAACCCTGCGGCCCACAGACAGAAGACATCCTGTTTAATACGAAAAATAACTGAGTTGGCTGAACTTCTTCCGTCTAACCAGAAAGAGGAAACTATCAACCTCTTACGGTCAAAATCTCTCCAGTTCTGATTTCAGTCTGAAGTGAGGGGTGGGGCATAAAAGCGGTGAACACGCCTTTTACCTTTCCTCTTGCTGTTTTGAGGAGCCTGCAGTTGCTTCTTCTGGCTGTTCTGCTCTGCATCCATCAGCTCTGTCCATTTCCTCTTTTTAGGCCTGGATGACATTTCTTCTGGTGTGAGGAAGAAAAAAAAAAAAACAACAACAACAAAACGTGAGATTGTAAATTGAGTCAAAGTTTGCTCAGTGAAGCCTGAACAAACCTTTCCACTGCTGAGTGGGGACGCTGCAGCAAGCCGACCGGACATGATGGAAAGAGAAACTGAAATAAGAGAAGGATGAGTAAAGAGGAACTAGTTCAATTCATGTGGAATAAAACCAAATTGGTGGAAAAAAAAAAAAGATTTATCTCAGGCTGCGCATTTAAAAACAAATAAAGACAGCCTCTGTGTAGATCTTTGCGTCGTAGCTTTTTTGCAGATTGATTTGACATTCTGACATTTTTCCAACAGCATGAAATCTGTGACGATGCTCTTACAGCGTCTAGTAGAAGTATTACTACTACTATTAAGTGCTGGAGAATCACAGATTTGTGATATTATCTTTTTAGGCAAGGAGTTTCTTTTTCAACATAAAGTAATATATTATGTTGTTTCCCTCTGCTTACTTTAAATTCATACTGACATGTAAATGTCCCATTACAAGTCAGATAATGTCCATCAGCTTTGATTTGAAGATAAACCCCTCATTTACTTAATTCCACACATAAAAAGCAGAAACTAAAACTCTGAAGACATGTTTATATTTTCATGGCTTATTAGATTCTGCACTTTTTTTTTATTACTATATTTATGTATGTAATTTATTTTCATTGTATATGTTTCTACATTTTAGTTTGGTAACATTTTCTGTACAAATTAATTTCTATTCTAGTTTGTCAACTTTCTTCCTTTTCTAGTTCAGCATTTGCAACCATCTAGTGATTTTCTGCTCGAGACGAATCCAGTTCTCCTTTATTAAATATAAACCCTTCAATGAAATTAAATGAAATTAAGTCATTCTTTTTCAGGTTATATTAGCGCCACAGACGTCAAACTCGCGCGCTGCACAGTAAATCAATGGCGGGAGACAAAAGCCGACACTACACCGGTTCAGATTAGACTAGAGAATTACATGGGATTAACAAAAGCTAGGGAACCCCTAATTAAAATTGTTTTACTAACTG